CGACGACTACTACTACTATTACTACTACTACTACTACTACTACTACTACTACACATGGAGAATTTTTTTTGTTTGGAAAAAAGTTTTTTGATTGGTGAAAAAGTTTTTTTGATTTTCGTTGAAAATTTTTTTTGATTGAAAACAAGCTTTTTTTTGATGTGTTTCCCGCTTGACCATTGGAATCGGTATGAAGACTGGCGCTCTTCGTACAAAAGGCCTTGGCAGCAGGACCAATGGCACCGATGAGAGGGATTCCCTCCGAGAGCAAGATACCGTCGTGGCACTGATAGGGCACCGCCCAGGCTAATTCCTACAGCACTCAGTGCGGCCTGGGGTGTCGTTTCCCCACTCTTTCACTTCAACAGTGATGCTCTTACATCACCTTCTCTGGTTGCAGACCGAACAGCATCACTATGCAGCGATTTCCCAGTCGGGACGCAGCAATGATAAAAAATGTCAGCCAGGGCTGCAGCGCCCATGCATGGTCTCGCAGCAAGCCTGCCGTGCGAGCTTTCCTGATTGACGTCGACTGCCAATACCCCACCTTACGGCCCATCGCCGTCTACTGGGAGTGCCCAAGTGTGGGACGCCACTAGACTGGCAATCGGGGAACCGGCTCTTCAGTACGGCAAACCAGTAGAAAGTTCAAGAGTATCGGACGCGGTGACTCGTTGTGAGGCTGACGGAGGCAGTCTCACCGACGAGTGATGGTTACTGATGCATTCAATGGTGACTGTGCCATATGCTGCACAGGGGTTCCGAGTTGCTGTTATATAGGGTTCAAAAGTTGGTGTGTTCATGTCTACTGTTGTTCATATTGCTCCCTAATGTCTCCATTTATGACATATCACTCGTATGAGTTTTTTCAGAACGTCAGGATGATTAAATTACTGCTATGGGTACTGATTGCCGGTTTTGTTCTTGTTGTCGCTGATATTGTTGATGTTGCGGCGCTTGTGGTCGTGCTTGTGATAGGTGATGTTGTTACTATTGTTGTCGTTTGCTGCTGTTGTTGGTCACAATGCTTGTAAATGGGCGGGGGGTTTGGAGTTGATGTTTGAATTGGAAACTAGAAGCTGTGCTAACACCAAACGAGCGACAAAGACCAACTCAAACGAATGACAAAGACCAACTGACACAGAAATCTAGAATATAGAACATATACTTCAACTATATGTATTGCAAACAACATATACAACAAGCAGTGCTATACAACACTCAATAAACACTTCAGGAAAGTAGTACGTCACATACGACCACAACATCAACTTACACCAAAAGGCAACGAAGTGGAAATCATATAAGATAGTCGGCACCTCACCAGGCCAAGCTTCTGAAAAACAGGAAATTCGACATTCAACATTTTGCGACTGTCGGTTCAAACTTTTTGGGTTTGGGTTCGTGCAAAGTACCACTTAGCCATATACTATTCAGCTAGGCGTTTGATATTGCACATATCAAAAGCTGGCTGAATGGACCCTAAAGGTATCGGTCTTTTGTATGTACATATGTGTATATATGTATATAGGTATATCTGCATATATACATGTATATTATGTGTATATATGTGTATATATGTGTATATATGTGTATATATGTGTATATATGTGTATATATGTGTATACATGTGTATATATGTGTATATATGTGTATATATGTGTATATATGTGTATGTATATATATATATATATATATATGTGGTACCCCCCCCCCCCCCAGGACCTACCTCCAAACCCGCCTGTCTACATATATGATACCACACATCACTACCCATGCACACAGATACACACACGCACACACATGCAACATGGAATAGGGTTTCCGAAGATTCGTGTATACGAACATGCCTATACCAGAGGCCCGGCTGCATTAAAATGCGCATTAAAAGATTTACTTTTAATGCAGTCCGGCCCGTGGAACCAAGAACCAAGAACCAAGATTCCCAGGAGTCTGGAATCCTGAATCTTGGTTCCACGGGCACCGGCCGGGCTGCATCAAAACCCGCATTAAAAAATAAAATGTTAATTCAACCCGGCCCGTGGAACCAAGAACCAAGAACCAAGATTCCCAGGAGTCTTGAATCCTGAATCTTGGTTCCACGGGCACCGGCCGGGCTGCATTAAAATCTGCATTAAAATCTAATTTTTAATGCAAGTTTTAATGCAGCCCGACCGGTGCCCGTGGAACCAAGATTCAGGATTCAAGACTCCTGGGAATCTTGGTTCTTGGTTCCACGGGCCTGGCTGCATTAAAATTTAATGTTTTTAATGCAAGTTTTAATGCAACCCGGCCGGTGCCCGTGGAACCAAGATTCAGGATTCCTGACTCCTGGGAATCTTGGTTCTTGGTTCCACGGGCCGGGCTGCATTAAAATTAATTTTTAAATGCGCGTTTTAATGCAGCCAGGTCGCTGGAAACCATATAAATATTCACGAAACATATCGGCTTGCTCTTTTATTTGCCACATGACCAGTCCTGCAGTGAAGATTAGCGAGCGGATTGCTGTGCTTGACAGTTTAATCGCATGGCAACAAATGTGTGATGACCCAAGCTGCAGCTAATCAAAATCAAGTGATCTTGTACTTCCAGCCCCAGTCCTGTCCTTGTCAGCATAAATAGAATAATTACTGTACAGATAGGTTTAAATATGGAACATCAGTCGGAGCCGAAGATTAGCGAATGTCCAGATGAGTTCTAGCTTATTGAGTAACGGGTTCCCATGGTGGACATCAGGAACATGCTTGTAAACAGATATCCTTTAAAGTCCACTAGAACTTATCCGTTCCAGGATTCCATAGAAAATATTCAGGTCGTACCATTACAGAATTTATGAAGTTTCTATTTTGTAGAATATACCTTATGGAATACCCTGCATCTCATGAAACACCATTTAGAAATCTGTCCTATATATATATACACACTGTGGAATACTTTTTATACGTTACAATTTGGGATACCTTATAGATACCCTAGACTGCCCCATACAATGCCTTGTTTATCTCCTATATACCCTGTATGAGCCTTTTCGAATACCATCTGGAATACCTTACAGAATGTTTCATAAACGCCCTATGCATGATACTCCCCTCATACCTTATACATGCCTTTGAGAACCCCCTTTGGGATACCCGACAAGAACCGTATAGATCAGGATTTACGTAAAGTTAATCAGAAGGAGCCCAAGCTTCTTGCAGCTTATTGAGCAACGGACATTTATGCCTGTAGAATACCTTACAGAATACCCTCTTTACAAACCGTAAAGATATTCATGTAGAATACGGTAATACCTTATATAATGTTCCTATATTCCCTATACACCTTGTACACCCAAGATCTGAGAGTTCCCCAGTTGAATGTGGTTTATTTAGCACTGGATTCATATCAAGGAACTGCGGAATATAGGAACTAGAAATTCCTTGAAAATCGATGTTTATCTAGCAAAGGATACATACAGAGAACAGAGCTCTTCTGAAACACATGCTGCACATACCCCATAGAATGCCTTTTAAACTACCTTTCCCACCGATTTACCCTACATACACCTCATATAATACCATGTGCTTATAGATAGGGGTTTTAAATATGGAAAGCCAGCCGGAGCCCAAGATCTGAGAATTTCTAGTTGAATTGCAGCTTTTGGGTAAGGGACCCCTATGAAGACATCAGGAACCAGGAAAACTATCCTTACAACTACCTTACAAAATACACTCTTTATGCACCTTAATGAATTCCATAAAACATACACTATAGAATACCTTCCTACATATAGGCCGCAGAATGCCTCTTGTACAATACCTTATGGAGTACCCGCTAGAATACCTTATAGAATGCCCTATAGAATGCCATCCTTACAGAAGACCGCCTGTGGAATTTTTCTTTGGTATACCCCAAATATACCTCATAGAATATCCTCCAGAATACCTTTTAAGATACCGTTTACAATAGCTTATAATATACCCTATAGATCACGGTTCAATAAAGGAACATCATGAGGAGAGCGCCGTTAAATAGCGTAGCATACAGAGCACAGTAGACAATACTTCATGGTATTGTTTTGGTTCGAACGGTGTGGTGTCGGCGTAAACAGTGAAGACTACGCAGTATATTACAGTTTAGTTCGGAGTGGCGTCGTAACCTCGTCTAGACAGTACAAGAAGAGGCTTCGAGGTAGGTCCTGGGGGGGGGGGGTAGCATATATATATATATATATATATATATACATATATATATGTGTATGTATATATATATATATATATGTATATGTATATATGTATATATGTATATATGTATATATGTATATATGTATATGTATATGTGTATATACATATATATGTGTATATATGTGTATATATGTGTATATATGTGTATATATGTGTATATATGTGTATATATGTGTATATATGTGTATATATGTGTATATATGTGTATATATGTGTATATATGTGTATATATGTGTATATATGTGTATATATATACACACATATATATCTACTTGTACCTATCTGTGTATGTATGTATATGTGTTCATATGTATGTATGTATGCATGTCTGTCGGTCTGTATGTATACATGTATGTATGTATTGACGTGTGTATGAATGCATTGAAGTTAGATAGGTAGGTAAGTAGGTAGGCAGGCACGTAGGTAGGTAGGTAAGGAGGTGTTCATGCATGCAGGTATGTAAGTATGTACATGTGATTGTTTGCGTCAAAAAGACACGCATTCACGTTTCAGACACATGCACGTATGCCCGCTCCTACTAGATAGTTCGGTTATGGAAAAAGCAAGGAATATGTGATGTAAACATGTCGATGTGTTCGTGTCTGAGTCGAGTACGTAGTGGGTCCCCCCGCCTGACCCGCACCCGCTTGCACGTTCCAGAGTCAGATGCTCGTCAAGAACATAGTACTTGCTTGTGCGTGCATGCAGCAAATATAGCATGCACGCAGACAGGTGTCACCTGAATCCGTAAGTTCGATTGCTGGTCCGACATCGCTTGAGGCACCTTTCGAGACTGCCGTCGCAACACTTTGCAGCCGGCGTGAAAAGGCTCGCCATGCTGAAAAGCGTCGTTTTCGGGTTTAAGACGGGTTGGAAGCAAGCAGGGCCTTCAACAAGCGCTTGCAGAATTATGTAAGGATCAGGATTCAGTGAGGTTTTGGGTTTTGACGATTTGGGGTTTGCAAGACTCGCTTGCTTTGCGAACTGGCACTGCAAATTGTTGCACTGCAGCCTCACGATCCAACGTAGACGCTACTCGTTAGTTTGCCACCCCAAGCCTTTGGCAAGATCCGTAGAAAGCCTGATGGAGCTGTTTTTGGGATGACGGCGAAGTAATGCACACCCGTACTTGAATGCATATTAAAACTTAAACTGCGAGCTTTGGGCCAGGTATGCATCAGGCTGCCTTTATTTGGTCCGATGCCGGGACCTTGGGCTGGTACGGGTTTCGTATTTCTGATCGCAGAGTAAGAAAGCTTCTCACAGTCGAGGTACAAGCATGCGCGTGAACATCATTCAGCATCACAAGGACGATGTATACCTTTGGGACCATTGACCATGGCAACACCAGCAGAAGCAACGACGACTACGACCGCAACAACCCACACCAACCCCACCGCCACCGCCGCCGCCACCACCACCACCACCACAGCAACAACAATTGCAACATCAAGGGCAAGGCGGCAACGGCAACGGCAGCGACAAGACCAAACAGGAACAACAGCGACTGCAACAACGGCAGCGACAAAGGCAACAAAAGCGTCAGCAGCAGCAACAGCAACAAGAGCAACGCACAGAACCACCCCAAACAAATCCTGCAATTGCAAGCACAACTGCAGCTACGACTGCTACGACTGCTGCTGCTGCTGCTGCTCCTAGTACTACTGCTATTACCACCACCACGACTCCTGCTACTACTACTGCTACTACTGTTACTACAGCTACTACTGCTATATTACACTCATTACTACCACCACTACTACTACTACTACTGCTGCTACTGCTACTACTACTGCTACGCCGGTCGTGAAGCAATCAGAGTTCGAATCCTTGATCTTCAAGCCCTGTGAACTAGCTTTCTCCCACCAGCTGCGGAGTTGAGTGGCAATGGGAAGCCCCGAACGGCTTTTGATTCCGTTGCTTTCCTGATTCAGGTTTACGGACTCTCTGATGGCTCGTGATTTAAGTTTGCCATATTGAACCAGATTCCTGAAAGCCAATGCTTCTGGAGAGGCCCAGTTCACCCGAAACCTAAATCCCTGGCCTCAAACCGACATCCTAAATCTCTGAACTCCAAATTTGGAACCCCGCACCTTAAACCCCGTATCATTGATTACTCCTTGCTTCTCGTCTCTTTCGAGGCGGTCTCTTCCGGACTGTGGCAATGCATCGCCGGCGAAGATTGAACAGTTAGAAATACATGGTTCGGGTTGGATGCGGTTTTGCAGTGTACGTGGGGTCTGGCTGCAAATTGCAAAGGCATCGAGTTTGTGTGCAGGACCGCCTGCAAGAGGTGACAAGCACTCACACACACATAAACATCTGTATCGACATAGACAGATATGTAAATATACATACGTACGAGCATGCATGCTTACACATGTACCCGTATTCGCCCACCCATGCATGCATACAATGCCTACGTCACACATACATACGTACGTACGTACATACATCATACATGCATGCAAACATCGACGTTGTACGGACATGTGTTCGTGCGTGCATCCATGCATTCATTCATATTCATTCTGTATGTCGGTCATGCAATCAACCCATCAGGCATCCAATCAGTTAGTCAATCAACGAAAGAATCAATCAGTCCATCAAGGAATCAAGCGAGCAAGCCATCAAGCGCAATCAAGCTATCAAACAGCCAACCAATCAACCACTAGTTCATGCACATACTCATGCATCCATTGATTTGTTCAAGATTTCAATCAATCAATCAATCAATCAATCAATCAGTCATGCACTTATTCATTCATGGACTCATTCATCCATGTCATTATGCAGTCCTGCATTCATGCTTTCATGCATTAGGGCATTCATTCGTTCGTTCTTTCCTGGGCTCATTTTGTCATGTATCCATGCATTAATGCATTCCTTCGTTCATTCATGCAAGCATGCATTCATCCATTCATGGACCATTCATTCTGTGTTCATTCGTACCTACGGATAGTTTCCCTAGTTGCGTGTGATGAATCAACGTTTACATGTGGTTATGTAGTATAGGTATGTGTGTAGGTAAATATACTTTGCATATAGACATGACGGTGTTTCGGTGCATGTCGCATGTTGTGGCCATTGGGTTGTGTTACCCCACCACCATGAGGCTGTGACCGGCGTCATCGCACGAGTAGTAACACCAAATAGCAACAGCGCCAGGATGCACATGTAATTGCCAGCCACAGTGTTCCTATTATAGCAGAGTCGAAGGTATTATGATGAGCGCATCTTCAGAGCCAGATTCGTCGCAATCTTCCTGACCAGAATCATCGCAAGCATCACCACCACTGTCGCAAACGTGTCATCTTTGTTGTCGGCTTCATCGCCATCACCAGGGCCGAAAAAACCAGGACAGTATTGACGTGATACAGGAGCCCCCTGGCGGTCCCAGTCCCAACAATGATGCTACAGCACAGCGACTACTCTAACCTTAATATTGCCCCCAAAACCCTACATTCCATGTTAAAAGGCCCAAAATCAAAATCAGCTCCTGTGCGCTCCAGGCCCCGTGCGTTGACTCCTGCAGCGCAGGCTGGCATCATAATGGCAACGGTCATGGTAGATCCTCCAAACTCCCAGAACTAAATTCGAATTTTAAGAGATTGCTCCTGGGCACCTGCTCGGCAAGAGGGTTCGGGCCTAAAGCTGTTTCCAACCCCCAACTGCAAAAGATCCGAAAGCACAGATACATGTAAAAAGCTCGAGCCCCGCCCTGAGCATTGCTGGTTGGTTCCCTCAGAATCCAAGACAGGTTAGCCCGGCATTAGATACTCAACACCCAAACCTCTCGGCGCCCTTGCACCCAATCTCTCAACATCCTGAGTACCCACTACCTCAAGGCCATAGAACAGCCCAAGAGTCCAAACTCTTCAAAGGTCACAAGCTCCTGCGCGTCCCCTGCCCGAACCTAAACTCAAGATCAGACTCTAGGGCCCTGCTTGCAAAATAACGCTGAAACCCCAACTTTTTGAAGCTGGGGGTTTATGTTCAACGAAAAAGAGGTTTGAATAATTCCTGCTCTCCCCTTCTTGCCTCCGTAGAATCATACTAGTGCTACAAAACGGCCCCTAGACTCCGACTGAAATTACTAAACGTAACGCAAGAACACGAGGTTCTGCAGGAAGGAACCTCCCAAGTCCTTAGAGGTACATCCGAACCTACCAGACGTTTGGTATGGCCCATCGGCCGTATCCTATAGTTAAGGTTTGGGTTTAGGATAGGGTTCATATTAGGACCTCTCAAAAAGAACAGGGGTTGTGGTAGGCTGAGGTAGCAAGCGCATCGCAAGGAAGTGACTTGTGCGCTAGCTCCGTGACATAGCTTCAGTATTAATACCAAAATAAAAAATACCATAATCAAAAGATGTAGCAATAATACCAACAATGTATTGTTGTTCTTGTTGTTGTTATTGTGCGTAATCGTATCAATGGGCCGGAACACCTCCATTTGCCTGGATCAGGAGACACGGCGAGCTGCGCATACGCGTCCGCTGGGTGCCAAGAAGGAGCTATGGGCCCTTTAGAGAAACATAGGAGAAGTTTACCGTGGGTGACATGAGCTTTCATGTTGTTCTCTCGTTGCGTCGTGCCTCATGCCCCACCAGGATCTCTTGAACTTGGACTCCTACTTGCTCGACAGGCAACCTTTTCTGTGGCATTTGGCCGAAGTTTGTTGGTTGCTATGTCCGTAAGCCGCTCTTACCTAACAGTGTAGAAGTATCGGGGGGCGGGGGGTGGGAGGGACTTGCGCCAGGCCAGATTCGTTGAACATGCCGGTGCTGTTCGACCAGGCCCATGTGGTTCAGCTTCTGATTGATGTTTGACGGTGCCGGGACTCCAAAGTCTCTTTTGGATTCGTTTGGATGTGTGGTGCTGCTGCACTGGGTGCTGTGCTGACTGCTGTCAAGTGTCAACATGTTGCAGCTGCATGTTAGGGCTCCCTCTTGCAAGTTGCGGTCATGCGTAGTCACTATGCAGCGGCTAAAGTTGCTATGAAGCACGCTGGCAGAATCAGAGCTGTCAGCAGTTACAATCTGGGTGCTCGGATGTTCTGCGGCAGGATATGGTTCAGATGTTGATCCACCAGCGGGCCGCAGATGTTGCCCCTGGCTTGCAAGTCTAAATTTCCTTTTTGCTCGGTACGCAGTGCTCCTTGCATTTGTGACCACTTAGTTGCCCAAAGAAAGATTCTGCTTTTCTGGCCATGCGGCTGCGTGCAAAGAACAGAAACGAGGTGAATCAGCAGACCTCGCTGCACGCTGCTTGTGATGGCAGCCACGCGAACATGGTGGCGGATCTTCTTGCAGCCGGACTGGCGGCCCATGAGAGCTACAGCATGAAGCAACGTGCGCCATGCCACAACCCTGGGCGGGTCTCGGATACCTATACGTTCTGACTGCTTCATTGCTTCCTATCTCTCCTTTGGATCGATTTCTTGAGGAGCACTGCGGCAGACGCCGCTGCATCGTGCAGCGCATGTCGGTGCCGTGGACTGTCTTCTGGCGCTTCTGGACTGCTGTGTCTCTGAGCTGCTGCATGCCAGGTTTCTTTGGCTTGTCGTTCCGATGACACAAGCATCTGCAGGGAATCACAATCACTCCCCCAACTTGTGGTTGTAGCCTTGCGTCTCGTGCCTCGGCGAACGCTTCTCTCGCGAACTATCCTAAGCACAGAGAGTTGAAAGCCTTTACGGTTCAGGTGCACGGTGGCCTGGTCGGCGATGGCAGACTCGCAAACAGACAAGCTGCAGCAGTGGAAGTTTGGATGGGGTGGACAAGGACAGACTGCCTACCTACTAGCTGATACTGACCATTACGGCCGCTATATTGGGGAATGGTGAGCTCTGTGTATTAAGGTGCTTGCCAGCGTGCCATCAGAAATAGGGAGACATGCGGTCACGCGATTGGCAGGACTATGCCGCAAAGCTCAGACGCGATGGGGTGCTGCTCCCAGTTCACACCGCCACTCGTTCATGCAACACCACCAGCAGACCGGACATACAATTACTACATATTACTACGCATATATCACCATTACAGAATGTTACACTTGTTGGTTGACTTCGGCAAATCTCGAGCCGCCGTGTGGGTGTTAAATGCTGTGGCTGTCGAGTTCCGAGATTTTCCGCGACGGAGACGAAGTTATGCGGGTGCTCATCTCCCAGGACATCCTCTGACATACTTTTGTGCGATGCCGCTGGCTCTAAAGGATAGTGACTGGATTGTGGTTGCGCCCTGTTATGGGGATCTGCAAGAGATGGCCTCGTACGACCGGTGTCTAGAGCATTTGCTGCATGCTGGGTGCACTATGGTATAGGCAGCATGACCCACCGCCCGCCAGTTCCTGTGAGGAGAAGCGCACCGCGCTGCACTGCGCGGCCGCTTCCGGCTCTGAGGTGGTGATGCCAGTGGATGCCCCAGCACTCTTGCTCGTTCTTGCCACGTTGACCCGCCATGTGGCTACTGTGCTGAGAAGCAGCAAGAGGAGCTGACCGAGAAGGTCCCGGATGTCCCGGCAGAGGAAGAGGCAATCGTGGGCACTAGCTCACTACGTGTCATGCACTGGACTAGGGGCGCAAAGTCTTTGGATGCACGATGTTAGGTCTAGGGTGCAGGGTTTAGGATCGCGGATTCTTTTCAAATTCCGGTCCACGTTCACACGTGGGATGCATTGTTAGCACAAACCTGTAACCCAGACCCAGCGGGACCGGAATAAAGATTGTAAATAGTTGTGTCCTCACCCCCAGAACCGCTAACAGTCCTGATGTCACCGACCGGATATTGAAACAGACATATACCGATGAACCCAGACTTCGTCTTAAAGGATGCGGCTAGGAATAAACGGACGTCAGTTGAGGCTTTTGGCAGTGGCAAAAGAAACCATGATAGAAGTAGCTATAACAATCCTAAAATCAACAACTCGAGACCCAAAACCCTATTACCCAACACACCCACACACCCACACAACCACGTACCCACATAAACACACCCACACACCCGCACCCCCGCACCCCCGCACACCCGCACACCCACACACCCGCACACCCGCACACTCCCGCGCACCCGCACACCCGCACACCCGCCTACCACCCACGCACCCACACACCCACACACCCACACAACCACACAACCACACACCCACACACCCACACACCCACACAAACACACTCACACACCTCACACCCGCACACCCACGCACCCGCACATCCGCACACCCGCACACCCGCACACCCACACGCCCACATGCCCACACACACCCGCAAATGACCAGACACGCCCATACACACCCCGTTGCGCACGCCCACACACGGCCACACACGCCCGCCCACACACGCCCACACACGCCGACACACGCCCACACACGCCCACACGCCCACACACGCCCACGCACGCCCACAGACGCCCACGCACGTCCATGCACGCCCACGCACGCCCACGCACGCCCACGCACGCCCACGCACGCCCACGCACGCCCACGCATGCCCACCCACGCCCACACACGCCCACACACGTCCACACGCACCCACACGCCCCCACACGCCCGCACACGCCCCCACACGCCCACACAATCCCACACACGCCCACACACGCCCACACACGCCCACACACGCCCGCACACGCTCACACACGCCCACACCCCCGTGCACACCCACACCCCACGCACCCGCACCCGCGCCACCCCGGGCACCCGCGCCCACACCCGCACCCGCACCGGCGGTGGCCGCGCCTGCGCACGCGCACGTGCACGCGCACGTGCACGCGCACGCGCACGCACACGCATGCACACACGTTTGCGCACGCACACACACGCATGCACACACGCGCGTGGAGATGCCGACGCATGCGTATCCCGCCCGTTCCCATTCCTATGCAGGACGTCGGGTTCAGGGCTTGTGCTTTCAGTGTCCGCATCAAAGTCTTTTTTGCCTTTGAGGACGTGCACATCGATTCGGCCAGCAAACTGCAAACCAACGACGACTGCGCGTCCCTGCAAGTCCTGGCAGGCCAGCGGAGGCATTGACCAATCCTTGAAACTTGTGCGCCTGCCCTGAACAGTGAAGCCAGTAGTCCAAACTGCAAACCCCATGCATGTCCAACGAAGTGTAACGATTCGGCCCTGAGCCGCGACCGTGCTCCAAGTTGCGCCAGGTGGGCTCAGCAAGAGCGCTGCCGGAGTAGGAGCGCGAACTCATCTGAAGGCGATCACTGGCCTCGATCAGGCACCACGCAGGTTACGGGCATTGTAAGGTCTGGGGGTGAGGGGGTTCAGACGTTTTTTATTTTCTGGGACATTCTCGTGTCGTGAACTCAACTGAGCGGAGAGCTAAACCATCGAAGAGCTAGCCAGACTAGGGCCGGCATTAACGAATGGGCGCGCAAGCGCGCGTAAGCAACAGTCGCATGCGCGGAAGGCTTGCGCACCGGTTGCTTTAAAAGCGGATGTGCGGAAAGGGTGCGCGGAAGGGTATCTTGAGGTCTTTCCTCCTCAAAGACCTGAAATGCGGAAGGGCGCGCGGAAGGCTTAAAGCCTAAGAGCTAACTCAAGGGCCCGCGCGTAAGGGACAGTTGGCTCCGCGGAAGCTGCGCGCACCCTAAACGCGGAAGGGTTTGTTAGCGTCAACGATTTGAAAGGAGGTTTTGATAACCGCTCAACTGTATACGGCTTGCACAACAGTTGCAGTGTGATCTCACCCTTCGTAAATTTGGGCTGGGCGAGTTGCATGGCTGCGTGCAGGCCATCAAACTAAAAAACCCAACCGACCCTCCAAAAAAGAATCGATGTAAACCGCTGAGCTCCCTAAACCCTAAACCCTTCTAAAGTAGCAAGCTCAGCGGACTTAGTGCCTGAAGCCATGCCTGCCTTGTGCGAGTGTGTGAGTCGAACCCTTAAACCGAGCTCTAAAGCCGAGACTTTTACCCACCGGCCTCCGCACTGCAGGTGCGTGGCACATTGGCAGGGCAAGCGGAGGGCGGGAAGTGGCCTCTTGGCTTATTGATTGTCTGGGTTCTGGTTAAGGGATTTAAAAATTTGAGGTAACATAATACGGAAACCATATGATTTACTGATCCCTCGTATGGTAACTTAAATTGAATTCTTTAAGAACCCGGTTTGAGGCGAGCTGTGGCACTTGTAGCTGAGGTCTCGGGCTCGGGTTCGTGGTCCTATGCAGACGTATATGGGAGTTTTCCAAAATAGGGGGGTTACCTAAGTTTGGGGCCCTTATAATAAGATCCTACAATTTAGGGATTATTTAGGGTATTTATTAAAATAAGGGGTCTCCATTTTCGGAAACCCTCATATCACCATCCAAACATCATGATTTCATTGTTCTTTCATTCTACGAGAACTCGATGCTCGACCCTGACTGTGTTCATGCATCCAGAACCAGTTCGCAACCTGCGGTCCTGTACCCTGCTTTTCTTGCTGTGCTTTAGCCATCCCTTGGCATGGCGTAAGCTTACCATGAATTTCGGGATTGCCGAAGAGGACATCTTGTTAACACAGTAGACCCGCTGCACCTTCGGCGATGCAACCTTGCGTCTCCGAAGGCTTTCCTCAATCCTAATCTGAGGGCTTGTTTGCTGCGTCCGTCTTTCTTGCTGTATGCCGACCTTGTAGCCCAAGCGCCTCGCCTCGATCTGTCCGAGTAAGGGAGGGCAAGCCCCAAGGGTTTGGTTGCGTGGGCGAAGGATCGTCAACATCGACAACAACGAGTCTGCGATCTGCGGCTGCTTCAGCACCTCAGCAGCTCGCAAAGGGGGTACTTCGTCAGAGCGACCACAATCGTAACAAAAAAGGATCGCCACGAACGGAAGAATCATCGGTTGAACTATCCGGGAAGGCGGACTGGTACGCTCGTCAGCTGGACCGTTTTCTCCTGAGAGCGAGACAGCTTCAAGAACCGCAGTCTAGACAGAAACTTGCACTTCGCATAGCAGTGGGAGTGATAATCGATTGGCAAGAATGCCACCAGTAAGACTGACAGTTATGCAAATAGTCGCGCCATAGTGTCAGCCGAAGGAGTACCGGCAGCAACACTGCCATACGAACAAGATTACTACCCGATCTATCTTGAAGGGGGCTTTGGTGGTTGTGACATGAACTCAAGGCTGGAGAATTTGATATTCTGAAACCCAAGAACGACATTAAGATGCACTGACCTTTTGGCTGAGGGTTGAGCCCTTTTGGCAGAGACTCAGAGTCCAACTGCAGGGAAGGGGCTTGGCGCAGACAGCCTACATGGGTCCGGTATGCACCCCACACGAAAACTACGTCTGATTTCGAAAAGTGAGCCATGGCGATGGTTGATTACCTGCTGGACGACCATCCGCAGTTGCCACTGTAGAAATAAGGTACAGCAACTTTCATAGGAAGAGTCGGTGTTTGTGTGTGTGTGTAGTGCGGCCATTACCATGAGAGAACCAAGCTTGAGCCAAGGGGAGTGGCTGGACTCCACTCAATCGCCCGGCCGAAGCTGCACGGCCGTGTGTGCCATGAAGCCCACCGTGGTGACGGTCAGGCAGCTGGAGTGCAAGAAGCTGATGGGGCTTTGGGGGTTTCCGTGGGCTTCGCTCGGGTCATTCGCAAATGCGCATCTGATCTGTTCTGTTTGTCGACGGATGAAAGCGGTGCTAATTCACAGTCGGAGGCATGACGGTACCATCAAGAGCGGCCATTCGGGCATGTCCCTATAAGTTGCTGGTTTTGCTACAACGAGTGGCGTGCCAACACCGTGTGCCCTGTTTCCACAGGCCGGCTGCGGTCTCTATTTCAGATGTCCTGAGAGCCATCTTCGAAGCTGCTCAGGTACAGCAGTGGCCAGAAGATCGCAGATGAGATCCTGGGCTTCAATTTCAATGAGGCTGGGAAGTATGACCTCACCTCCCTCTCTAGCTTACTCTTTAGCTTACATGGGGCAGAGGGGATACTTTCCGCTTCTTACCTCGACTTCCATTGACTGCAGAAGTCCGTGCAGGCGTGCCCGATGACGCCTTTCAGCATCGCAGGCTTTTCGAAGCCAGGCAGCGTGTCGAATCTCTCACAGGTCTCTATGGCCGACTGGCCCAGATCGAAACATACTTGTCGCAAAGCTCATGCGCGTGCAATGCTGCCGCTGCCCAAACTGTCTCCCAGCAATTCCATGTCACCAACATCCGGACATTGTAGAACTAGCTGAGGCACGTCAGACTTGTGGGTGTTCTTCGTGCAATCCGTTCCGTCAGGCGGTCCTGCTCAGCGCAAGGGTGTCTTCGTCGGCTGGTTCGTGGATGTGATTGCGCTGATGCAGTTCCGTGTCCTTTTACAGTTGCTTTCAAGTATCCCCGCATATCCCCGCTATGGTTTAATCGATCCAAGCATTCAATTCAAGTTTAGCCCACTTTTGTACATGTCCTGGCTGCCCTAGCTGATTCCACTGACTTCGTCTTGATCTTGTTGTGCGACATTGCCTCTTCCGCAAGAAGAGGATGCTCCAAATGGACTTGGGCGCTTGCTCATCCAGCGTTGCAGAGGCAAAAGGCTCTTGCTGCACTGCGCCTGCCTCCGCATTCTCCCTGAGGCTCGAGAAGTTCAAGTCACTGGAGGGCGAGGGCTTCGGTGAAGCCCCGAAGAACCTCGCAGAGATCGCTGCGAACATAGAAGGCTTCAAGAAGCGCCTGAACGCGCTGCTTGAACTCTCCGACATGATGCCTGGCTGTAAAAGTTGGAGGGTCGGAAGAGGGGATTTGTCAGGTTATGTCCCAAGTTGCGTCGGATTTCCCCCGCCCCATGCCTGAGAAGCCTGACCTTCTACAACGGCCTGGACTTCCAGCTCCTTCCTGTTTGTGCGGCCGACTACAAGGCCCAAGGCTTCTGTGGCGCTCAGAGGGGGTTTCTGAAAATGAGGGTCTGTTATTGCGCCGTCCTTAGACCAGCATCCTGATGTTTGGGACCGTCATCTGCCAGCCTTGTGCTTGTGACTTGGGAAATTTCGGTGCGGGATATCATCACCTAGATCCTTTTTCCCTGCAGTCATCGCAGGACCCGATCAGCGACGAGATCAGCGGTTTCAACTCAACGGGCGGGGGCCTCGGACCATTGCAGGGGCCAAGGCTCAATGTCCGCCCTGGCCGACCACACGGAAACAAGGCTCTAGACTTTTTATGTTGTGTTTTGTTGTGTTGGGATGTGGACGGTTGGGCAATGGCACGACACACAGCTCCATTGAATCAGGAGGTTTCCGTTGGTGGTCTTTCGTCTGTGGGGCGACTACGCAATTTACATCGTTCCCTCTTGGTTGCTGAGCCTTGGTCTTGAGAAGTGGCACCCTCTTCCTTTTCGAGCCAAGGTGGCGTGCCGAAGATTGACGGATTTTGCGACGCTGGGGGTCCTGCACAAAGTGCTGGGGTACGCTCCGGCCGGCACGTCAGCCCGTACGAGAGTCTCAGCAAGCAGTGGCCTGTGAGTGATAGACTGTCGGCCGAGTCGGGTCCACTTTATATATTTTCTGTTATATATACAATATATGTAAGTATGAATATAAGTATAAATAGAAATATACATGATCAAATACATAAGTACATAAATAAATATACAAACACAACCATTAAAAATGAACATATACATACATATATATATATATATATATGCATATATATATACATATAGATATGTATATATATATATATATATATATACATACATACATACGTACATACATACATATATAAGATCCAGGATAGCATGCAATAGACATCGTCTCGCGCGACTCACGCTTATGCTGCCCGTGGCTTTTTCTCGGGAAGCGTCTGTAGTGGAGGTCAAACGTGAGCCGTTGAATTCTCTCGAATTGCCATTCTTGGACCGTTCGTGAGTGTTCCTCGCGTCGTACTGCGCATGGAGCGATTTATTCCGAGTGGGCCAGTCTGACGTGCGAGCACTTTACAATGTGTACAAACTCAGCCGAATACAGGCACGACCGGGAAGCCTCCCAGCCACAACATAAAATTGAGTTTCGAGAGAAGCCGGAACACTAAATGCAGGCCGGACCCATGGCTTCATTCAGGAAGTGTATCAGGTGGACTGCAGTACTCTCTGACTAAACCTTGGCCGATGCTTCCAATTCTCGAATCTCCCATTCCACTGACCCCAAGCCTCACAGCTAGACCTCGGGTACTGCCCCCACTCAGTCACAGTTGAATAGTACTCATAAAGAGGGCCGTACCCAAGTTAGACCATTCAGGCATGCACCTTGCAGTATGCCCGACCCTGGGACTGGGCGACCTCTACCCTGAAGGCTCACCTGCTGTTGTGAACTATTGGCATCTACGTTTGCTCCGTGGAAGCCTAACCCCGACCTTCAACGCGACCTCCCAGACAAAGGCCCAGAAGCCCTGAAAACCGAATATAGGGGCCTCAATAGTTACCTATACTATTTTGCGCTTCCTTATTATATTCATAATATATAATGGGCCCCAAAACCCCTGTTCCAATTATTAAGGCCTCGATATTCGCAAGAGGATAGGCTGCGAGTTCAAGGACCTTCAACCTGGAGGAGAACAAGGAAGCAGTTCTCACGCCGCAGCAGGCGAGATCTCCAGGGCTCCGGTGGGATTTAACTCTTTGCGCCGACTGCAAGGCCCAAAGCTCTGTGTTGTGGACTAGGGGCACAGACGGGGTCTCTGACAATTTTGGTGCATGATTGAGGGTTGTTGCATCAGCATCCTGCTATTTGGGACTTGGGACCCTTATCTGCAAGCCTTGTGCTTGTGACTTTGGAATGCGCGGGAGATCATAACCTTGATTCTTGATCCTCGTTCCGCTAAGTCATCAGGGCCGGCGTGAACAACGCAGCTCTGCTAGACATTGGGAATCATGAGGATTTGCAGGGTCATCAGGGACTCAGCCTTGTGCATTGTGGCAACGCTGGCATGCAGGCTAGTCTGGCGTCAGCTTTCTGACTAATTTCTAGCATTGCTGCAGCTTCTTGACAGATCCAGTTGAAGCCGTTGGTTCCGATAGTGTTTCGGACTTTGCACTTCCTGCACATGTTGCATATCGCCTGCTGGCAGTTGCGCTTGTGGGCGGCCGTCCGAATTGCTTCGGCGTCCCAGGCCAAGCTGCATTTGTAAAGAGGAGTGAACTACACCAGACTGGGATCCTCTCTTGCGCAGCTTAGTTTCCTACTTACTTTGTGTGCATCCGAGACTCTATTATGACTCTCCAGCCAAACCATTAAATCGTCCATACAAGATCCCAAACCTCCAGTCTAGCCTGTGTTTAGGGCTTCAGAGGCTTGGGATTTTAGAATGTTAGAAGTTCAGGGTGTTAAAGGGGTTCTGGGTTTGAGGCTTTGATTGAAGTAGGATTAAGGCCTTCATGAATTATGACTTTCTTGATTTATTCTTATTTTCATGTAGGGCTTAAGGTTTCAAGGCATGGGGCTTCAGGGCTGGGAAATTTCAGGAGGTTTGGTGTGGCCCCGAACGGCAGATCTCGGAACCCCCAACACCCAAAAATTCAGCAATCCTGCAAGACCCAAGAATCTAAGAACCCCATGCCTTCCTGTTTCCATGCGAAACCCTGGGCCCTAAACCCTGAGACCCTGCTTGTTGTGAGGAGGAACTGACAAGGGCCCTGCAGCCTCCCGGTCAATGTTTCGAGGGTTTTTGGATTGAGGGTTTATTGTTTTGGGTTGAGGGTTTTCGGGTTTGGGGTGTAGGGTTGGGGTTTCGGGTTGAGGTTTGACGGTCTCGGGTTTGACGGTTTAGAGCTTAAGATTTAGGTTTGATGGTTTTGGGTTAAAGGGTTTTGAGCTAGGACAATAACGCAACAATAGTGGTAGAGGTAGTCGTCGTCGATGTCAGGCAATAAGCTAATATGTCAATATATTCTCGCAAAAGTCCTAGAAGCAGCAAAGCAGCTAATGACACGATTGGGTACGAACCTGATTGGCAGTGAAGGTGCCCGTTTGGCTCTCGACACAGGAGCGAAACAGATCCTGTTCTATTGGATCCTTCCATACCGGTCCGTTTACCTTAACCCCGAGACCCCAGATATAAGCTGAAAGCCCCGTGATGTCCAACCAAGGATATAACTAACCCTTATGAAACGCATTACAGGACCCCTGGCAAACCATGATAAACCCCACCCCTTCAGGCCCTTCATGCTTCCATGGCACTTTCAAGCCTCAGGCGGTCTTGAGTGCTTCTAGGGTTGAGGGTTTGGTTGCTTTAAAGAAGGCAAGCCAGCTTTAAGCTTCTATAGGCTCGTACCCTACCCCTTCTTTTCGGGTACCTAGTTCTTTCGTTCAGAGCTGTTATATAGAAAAATAGGTAACCTGAAAAAGGCATAGGATATGAGCCTCTAGGTAATGCTTGCGGTGCAGTACCTCAGGCCACTCCTCGCCACTCCTCTTGTTGGGTAGTGTTCGGGCGGAACCCCGAAGCTGAAACCCCTGGAGACCCATAGATTTAGGGTATATAGGGACGTATAGGGTTGTTTGGGATTCAGAGTAAATCAAACTTCCAATCAGCAACGCCCAAAACCCAAGTCTAAGCTATCACTGAACCCGAACCCCACAACCCAACTCCAAACCCTGACACCCAAATCTTCAGCCCTTTTTTGTGAGGACTCAGGGTTCTCAAAGTCGGTGTGCAGAATATGAAGTCCATACAGCTTCAAGACTAATTATCAAATCGAACCTAACTTCAAGGTCAAAGGCAACAGGCTGAATTAGTGTTGGGGTGTTGCCGGTCCAATGAAGGCATGTCGGGGACGCTTTCTCATCAGAGCCCACTAATACGTCGTGCTGATTGCTGCATGCTGTGCGATGCTAGCCACCGGCGTGGATCGGGAATGTTGGGTGATGACACTTTGGATTTGTTGATAACCGAGCTGCCAAACAGAGTAGGAAACAAATGGGTAAATGTTTTAGGACGAGCTTTTGCCCAGGCGATGAAATCAGACGAGGCGCAGCTGTGTCAAGCTATGGCAAAGCTTGCAGCATCTAGAACATCGCAAATCTTCTGCATAACCCCCAACAGCGTCTACTAGTAGGGGTTCAGAGAACGTTGCTGCCATGGCGGATGAATTTGCGACTGCATTGGAGCAAGTCAAGATGATGTCAACTACTTTCGAGGGGCGGGCTCATTGACTGAAGGTCTGGGGACGCCATGCCGCAGTTTGGTTGAATCAATGTCTGTTTGAGATCTCGTGAAACTCATTGTCCTGCAGACATCGGAAAATTTAGTGTTTTGGGCCTGCGACGTGCACGACAACACAGCATCAAATATGCACTACGCGCGTACTAGTACTAGTACTAGTACTACTACTACTACTACTACTACTACTACTACTACTACTACTACTACTACTACTACTACTACTACTACTACTACTACTACTACTACTACTACTACTACTATTTAGGATGTAGGACGTAGAGCTTTCGGGATTTAACTGGGTCTTGTGCAGGGTTGCTGCAGGCGCTCTGTAAAGGGTTCTCTACTACAAGGCAAGGGTTCTGTCATAGGGTAGTCTGAAGGCTGAGGATCCCCCACCTCTTCAAAAGGTAAATTTCTCAGAAGGCACCGAGTTTCCCGTAGTAAGTAGGGTTATCAGTTTTCAGTTCCTTACTTGGGTTTGAGTAATTTAACTGTAATTACCATACTTATAACTGGGGATTCCTCAAAATGAATTCAGTAGAATATAATGGGCGCTCAGACCCTATTCTAATTATTAAGGCCCCTATATTAAAGCTCTGTTCGTCTCTAACCGTTTCTACATCCAAAAGACGTGCGACAATGCGAATCGGCGAATCGTGCCTAGTGCAGGAAGGACTCACCAGCCGGACGTTTCTGAAACATGCAGTAGGTAAGAGTCCTGATCTGGTTCACTAGCACACATGTCAGTGTGATTCTTCCTGCCAGGGTTCGTGTGTGGCGATGTGGACTACCGTTTCAGTCTTTCAGTCCATAAAAATCGGCCCCACGATCTGCAAGCCAATTTGAAGGCTTGCTGCTTTCGAGTGAAGCCTATGCCTCCCGTCGGCCTTCCAACTCGAAGGACTGATTTTTCATCCAAGGCGTCCGACGCGAACTATCGTTGAGAATCGACAACCAGGCTGTACACAGAGTACAAGCTTTGCTGTTCTGTTCTGACCTTCGTAGACTCGCCGACCCAGCGGTGTGTGCCGAGTTGGGTCTACTGAGACTGCAGGGACGATCGTGGCTCAAGATACCCTGAACTCCAAGCCCAACTATACCTTAAACCTGCTGGCAAAAAGAGGATCCCCGGAAAAGTGAGCCTCAACCCAAACCCCTAAACCCCTAAACCCTAAACCCGAACCCCTACTGTAAATCTATTGTGCCACGGGGCTCAAAGCCTGAATCATGTGGCTTCCTGAGGAACACACGAAGCCCCAGAGTCACCAGAGATACTGAAGCCTGAAAAAGTAGTAGTACTCTTCCTTAGGGCTCCTTATGATACTGTTCCTTAGGCTCCTTATGAAAACGATACTGAAGAAAGAACTACCCCAAAGCCTTGTTCCAGAAGTTAGGGCTCCTACAGCGCCGACAGAAGCCCTGTACAACCCTTGTAGGGGTGGTTGTTCAACTCGCAACTTGTGGCCGAAATATGAGGATGGTACGGTTTAGGGTTTAGGGTTCAGGGTACAGTATGTCCCCAAAGCCTGAGCGAAGGATTCCTGTGATGTCTCGTAGAGCTAATGCTGCGATGGTCAGGGCAGTGCGCACAGCTGACCCCGGCTGAGCGAAAAGTTGCAGCAGCCGGCAGGTGCCCAAAAGGATGCTTCAAGCTCCAGGGTTAAAGGTAATGTAGGGGCTTTAATAATTACCTATACTATTTTGGAAAATGGGACAGCCTGGAGAGGAAGCGGCATCTGTCATCACGGCCGCAGAATGCAATACGACTAAAGTCTACCCCTGGCCATTTCCATTCTTGGGCCTCTGTGACAGCGCAGGGCTTATTCGAGAACTCATGGAGTGCACCGGACTCAACATAAGTTCGCATCGTGCTGCTACTGGTTTAGGGAGCTGGAATTTGGGGTTGAGTGCTTGCAGAGGCTTTTCTTATGGCCGTCGCAACAATCACGGCTGCTGTTTGCTGCGACAACTACGACAACCACCTCTACCCTAAAACCTAGACCCTACACTCCAAACGCTAAAACCCAAACCCAAACCCTAAACCCTAAACTCGAACTCTAAACCCAAAACTCAAACCCTAAACCCGTGGAGCCTGGATTCGGGATGTATAAATTTTGGGACTTGGGCTTTCGACCTGCGAGGTGAGGTCCATGATCGTGAATGCTGTAGGCTCGATTCCATCGAACAGGTCCCGGTTTAGGGTGTGATTAGGGGTTCAAGGTTTCGGCTTTACAGGGTTGAAGGCTTCTGGGCTTCGGGGAGTTTCCGAGAACCTCCCGACGTTTAGGGTCTTAGGGTAAACCGTTTAGGAAAAGGGTTTGGGGTTTGGGGTTCACGGTTTCAGGTTTAAGATTTCAGAAGCTGCCGGTCCCTGTTTCGTAACATGTTAGTATTCAGCTTCTCATGGCTTGTGTATCGATACAAGTCACCGGACGCTTTGAAGAGACTTCTCGTGTTGACGAGATCGTTGGGATTGCTGGCATTTCCGACCACACCTCGTAGGAGCTTGAAGACTGCAGCGCTATGCAGCTTTTGCAATACATCGTTAGTCATGCCAACCCCAAGACCCACACTCCAACTTTGCTGCACCACGAAGCTTTCTCTCGCAGTTAAGTTGCTTCGAACAAATTCCTATGCGACAGACACATAGAACAACGGTTTCATCAAGATCCAGTGAGCTTTGTCACCTTCGAGATGCAATTGCCATGGCCGGGCTACCCCGGCAATCGTTGAGCTTGCCAACCACTTTTGTTGCGGGCAGGGATTTTTGTGATCTTCGGCCTTTGCTTGCACTTGGGAAGCAGGCTTCTTAACCGGATGAGGGCAGCTGTTAGCGTGAGGTTGGAAACGGGTTATCCACCAAGAGCTTCTCGTTCCCTGCAGTGTCGCAACTCCGTCTTGCAAAAACAACTTGTGCATGTTCCCGCATCGCGAGGCGTGCGGATCCCTAGCATGGTTCGTGTATGTAGAAACTGCAGTAGCCTCACTTTGTCATCGCTTCAGGCATGTTCAACTGGTATTCGGAACATTCACAACATTCATCGTATGTCCACTCGCCAGCGTGAACAAGCACATGCAACAGATGCACCAGCACCATCAAATTAATCCTGTTCTTCACCGGCATCTTACGCTTCTTGCAGATCATGCTCACCGGTTTGTTGCTCATCAGGTAGATCGTGTCCGTCAAGCACCTTTTTGTTTTACTCGTATCCGAAGCAGCCTCGCCATAGTCAGATGACGTTCGTCATATGCGCCGTGTTCGCATGTTCATCACCGTGGCATGTTTTTTGAGTGACTATTCCGTCAAGATTTATGTCGGGTTCATCATCATGTTTACCTTCGCCACACTTGGCGTAGATACTACCTTACCAATGTCGACATGCAGTTCAACATTCACCAAAACCATCCGATCGTCGAATTCATCATTTCTGCACGGCCTTTATGTTGTTTCTACATGTGTATTCATCGAAGTTATATCACTCACGCAGCGCTCCATACTCACATTGTGACATAAACCGCATGGTGACATAAACCGCATGGTCTTCGTACCCTGTTTACATGTGCATAGTTTAGGCTCCCGTCAGTGTCTTGCGAAAATGTGATAACGAACCATCCAATAAGCTAGAAATTCGATACCAACACCCTAAACCCTAAATCCTAAACCCTAAATCCTAAACCCTAAATCCCAAACCCTATATCCGAAAAAAGAACCGAAGTGCTATGAGAGTCGCTGCTGCCAGGCGGGGCTTCGGCAACATGGTGCACCCGAATGCCGTGGTGGCACGAAGGGTGCCTTCGGCGTTTCGGGTTTAGAACTTCTGAATTCAGCGGTTTAGGAGGGTTTAAGGGGCGAAGGATCGCGGTTCGGAGTTTACGGATCTGCGACTTCTAAAGTTCTAGCTGCTGCGTCCTCAAGTCAAGGATCCAGCCTCAGCGCGCGAAACCTGTGATCCGAATTTCTCGGGTTATGATGGGGCCCATGGGGTGTTTTCCGCTTTACTGCAAGGTCACCGTACGGTTGCCACAAAAAAGAGTGCTATAACGATGAGGCTATTGTGAGGTGACTTCTAAGTCATGGCAAAGCTTTATGTCGGCGGCCCAAAACTCAACACCCTAAAGCTTCCGACCAGGAGCTCGAGCGGCAGGAGCCTCTTTCAGCGATGTTTTGGGGGCCTGTGGTGTGTGTGTGTGTGTGTGACACTCAATGCAGCCTCGGTTCCACGGACGTGAGGGCGTGATTTCGGAGTTAGTTAAGGTTGGAGATTTCCAGTGGGTTGCGTATGTGTGTGTGTGTGTGTGTTTTTGCCGAAAACGTCCCAGCTTGTGCAGATGTTAGTCTTTCCGAAACAAACCTCCACGAGAAAGGACGATTCTAGCCCCAGAGCTGGGACAGCTAGGAGCTTGCAGATCGACTTCCCCAACTTTCTTGCACGGAGGCTTGAACCAGTAATTGGGACCTAAACAATTTCTAGCAGTATTCCTTAACGCTCCTTACCCCCAAGAAGACCGAGGACCTAGTTCTATTCGGTAATCCTGAATATAAGCCCCAGGCAGCTGCATTCTTCAGCAATGTGCGGACGCAGCATTCGCGCGTTCTCTCTGGGCTCAAGATGACCGGCTGGGCCGATACTACTAGAGCGACGAAAATCGCTAATGCACGCTTATTGGGTCGAGAGCAAAACCCCTGGCCCAAAGCACTCAGTCTGAAAAGCAACTGAAGAGCTGCCCAGAGCTCTCGCGAGAAACCACGAGCTAGCCCCCAAATCCGTAAACCCCAAGCCCGGAAGCCCTGTAACAACACGAGCCGCAACTAAACTGTAAGCCCGAGTTTGAGGCCGCAGCATCGAATTGTCCACTAATGACCATAACGTTTGACGAACTCACAGCCTACAATGAATAAAGTGTCATGAATGGTTACCGGTATATAATCACATTACATAATGCCCTCAAGCTCTCTTCCGATTTGTAAGGCTTGTACATGTTTTGCTCCCATCCCAGGGCCCAGGACGGTCCATTCTACCAGGAACACTGACCCCCGGATCCCCAATAGCCTATACCTTAACCCGTAAACCCTCAACCCCGAACCCATATCCCTAAACCCCGCGGTTTAGGGTCCCCTAAACCCTAAACCCATAAACCCCGGAGGTTTAGGGTCCCCTAAACCCTAAGCCCATAACCCTAAACCCCGGAGGGGTTTAGGCCTAGCTCACCTTCATCTTTCCGCTGCCTTTTTTCTGGCCCATGCCGTCCATCCGGGAGGCTCTTGGCTCTGGCGCCCGAGGCCCAGGGCCAAAGGCCCCTGGGCCTCGAAGCCTGAAAGGGCGGGGGTTTGGGTTCTCGGGGGGTATACGATGGGGTTTAGGGTTTAGGGTTTACTATAGGGTTTACTATAGGCTTTACTATGGGGTTTAGGGTTTAGGGTTTACTATTTATAGGGTTTACTATAGGGTTTACTATCGGGTTTAGGGTTTACTGTGGGGTTTAGGGTTTGGGGCTCAACATGTCTTTTTTCAGGTTTCGGGCTTAAGAGTTCAGCGTTTCCAGTATCTTCGGATTGTTCTACAAGGGCAGACGTTTGGGTTTTCCCTTTGCGAGAGCTCTTGCTCCGCAGTGTTAGATTGGTGTTGTACTGCTTGCTGGCTGGCGCTGTCTTGTTGCCAAGTCCTTCTGTTAGACCTTGCCTTCTCCGGACGAAGCATACTTTGGTACTGTGATCTACCCTAAACTCCAGACTTTGTAACCTTAACCCTGAACGCCAGTGCCCAAACCCTGAACCCTACTCCCCAAACCCTAAGCCCTAAACTACATAGTTGCTGGATGCAGACCATGAGCTTTGAAGCAAGGTCTGCCGGGACGCGGCTAGCGATGCGGAGTGTAGTGACTTTTCCGACGAAGCTTTAAACTATATGGGTAAGTAGTGCTAGTGTGAATGCTGATCTACATCTTCTTTTGCATCTTTATATGTTATCTTATATATACATGTAGATGTAGGTATATAACCTGGGCTTACGTGTACACAGCTACGTGCCGTGTTCGCTCAATGTACCAAGCCACGTCCCAGGTAATTTTCCTGGACTTGGACGGCGTTCTGAATCGCACACGTGCCGCCACGCACATCCGCCTTGATGAGGATCTGCTGCGGCTGCTGAGAGTTCTCTGATTTGCACTGGTGCTGTTTTCCTTGCAACATGCTTGTAATCTGCTGCTGCTGGTGCTGCACTGTGTTCTTTTGCCTGTAGATGATTGTTGTGATTCGCTTGATTGTCGAGCCCAGTGGTGGTGGCTTGGTATGTTTACCAATAGGTGGGCTTGTCGGTGTTTTGGTTGAACGGTTGACTGGATACTGGTTAGTGATCTGGCTCGTTTCTCAGCGAAGGTTTTGGTGTTTCTGGTATCGTCAGAGCTAGAGGCACCACTGCACTGAGAGTCCCGTGCTAAGGATCTTATCCATCGTGGGGGCGAGGATGTGCACATAGTGCTCTCCACGTACTGGCCCCGCCCTCAGAGCTGGCGCAAACCTCGACGATTCATTCCCAGGCCATCAGGCTTTAAGCAATTGGAGTGCTTTGTGGTCAGTAAAGCTTGACATAGCTTCTCCGGCACGAGTAAAGTTGTCAAGACCATTCGCTGCTAAACGAAGGCATCATTCATCATTTTGACATGGTGGCAACTCTGAGCACGCGCATAGATATGTATGCAAGCCGTAAGCTTATCAGCTCAGCAATCGCCACCCTGTTGCACTCTATCCACCGATCCGGGACTTCAGGCTTGACAAGGGAATGCCTAGGCCTTCGGGTTAAAGGAGGTCTTGGGAAGCATCTTAGGTTTTAGGGTTTAGGGCCGCTTCATGCCAGGATGTTTACACATCACTGTATCGTTGTTTGATGCGGTCGAGGAGCTGGGACGGATTTCTTTGCCGGTTTTCTGGTCGTTCGCTGGGATGGGTTGAGGGTCTTGCAATGTTTTGAAGCTCTAAAGGAGGGCTCGCAGGATATGTCTTCCGCAGTTATCCTTGTGACCTTCCGGCAGGAATCGAAGATTCTCAATTGCGGTTCAGCGGAGTTTAAGAGTTTGAGGTTCCTGGAGCACTCGTTGTAATTAGGACCTTTATTATACCGGTATACAACCCTCAGTAGGGGGAACAGGGGGACCCTGAGGTTTATGGGACAGGTGCTAGGACCTTAAGGTACGTGTTGATCCGAGGCGCCGGTTCACGGACTACATTACCTACGTCCTGTCGAGGCCGTGTCGCCTTTCACATTCCATGGGATAGAGAGTTCAAGATTGTTTCAGAGATCCGATAAGCAACAACACCGAAAAGGGGGAGTTCCGTGGCCTACCACGTCAATCCTATGCATCCTACGGGCTGAAAGGAGACATCCCGACTGCTCCCCGAGTCCTTGAAAGCGCATGGCTGAGGACCCCAATCTCGCACGACTGAGCCTGATCCCGAGATTACTATAGGGGCCGAAACAATTACCAATACTACTTTGGCGGTACTTTCTTATAGTTATAGTATACTGGGCCCCAAAACCCTATTCGTTCTATTAAGGCCGCTATCATTAAATTGTCGTACCCTTATAGATCCCTTGTAGTAGCCCCTATAGACCCCTGAGAGGAACCCTATTCAAACATTTATTAAGGCCCCTATATTCTGGAAATCAAACTTGGACCTTTGCGAGCCCCAGAGAGGCTTACACCGCACTGAGAAAATCTTCCGATACCCTTAACGATTCCAAAGCAAAAAACACCAAACGTTCCTGTCTCTATCATGTAGTATATGTATACATACACATACGTACATACACGTGCATATTACGACCCTAGTGCCCTTCGCGGAGTAAGGCGAAACTCGGTGGGAAAATCTTCGCGGAATAGACAAGTGGAATAAGCGAACAGAGAACGTGTGTGAAAATCAAGGCAAGGCGAATCACCCACAGGCTGCTGTAACAGATCGGCTCAGAAAATTCAAGTTTTCGACAGGATGCTCTAACATATCGGCTCTTACAAGAAGCCACAGAGTGCGAGATATGGTGCACTTCAGGAGCCGATCTGTTACGGCATCTTTCGCATGAACTTTGGAGCCGATCTTTTGCAGCAGAGCTGTTCCTGCATCCTTTGCTTGACTTTAGGACTTTAGGAGATATTTGCCTTCGATATCATTGTAAATGTAGTTCGCGTTGGTAGGTGTGCATTGGTTACATGGAGTTCGAGTTCCTGCTGTCATACATTCACTAATCGGTGTCTTGCTTTAGATTGTTGGTGTTTGCTGATGACATCCGCATGCAGTTAGTGTTGATGAATGTGCAGCTTGTGAAAAGATCAGGTTAATGTTGGTACACATTCACTATTGAATGAATATGGGCATCTTTATATATATATATATATATGATTCTTTGTGTGGGTTGGTTTTTCTGTCTACGTCTGAAACCAGGCTGCTGGCCTAGTTACTATAGTGGCCTGAATAATTTGCCTATACTGTATTGGGGTTTCCTTATCATAATAATTGTATAATGGGCCCCAAAACCCTATTCCAACTGTTAACTCCGCTATCATGATAGTACCCTTATAGATCCCTTATAGTAGCCCTTATAGACCCCTTAAAGGAACCCTATTCGCCAGCGGTAAGCCCTAAACCCTAAACCCCAAACCCTAAACCCTAAGCCCTGAGAGTTGCCGAGAAGTAGTAGTGTATGCCTGCGAAGGGTGGGCTCAAGTCCTAGTCTGCGTGCGGAGTGAGAAAGGGCCATTACACTAAAAAAAAAAACCTAAGCCCAAAAGCACCAAGTTTCCTCTCATTATAGTACCCTTATAGAGCCCTTATAGTAGCCCTTATAGACCTACCTAAACCACCCTAAACCCTAAGCCCAAAAGCACCAAGTTTCCACTGGGAAGGTACGGCATCTCTGAGGCCCCCCCAAGGGCTTTGTTTGGGGGCGCTGCAAAGAAGTGGCTCAGGGCTTCGATCTAGGGTTTATAGGGTTTAGGGCTTCAGGGTTTAGGGTTTAGGGGCTTCGGGGTTTAGGGTTTAGGGTTTAGGGGCTTCGGCGGTTTAGGGTTTAGGGTTTAGGGGCTTCGGGGTTTTTTAGAGTGTGGGCTTGGAAGTTGGAGTCCTGTGTTTCGCCGTCTGGTGCTGCTGCGATGC